GTCAAGAGGATTCATTGGGTTACAGACTGATGATTTCTTGACTTTGTTAACCTATATTCACAGTGTTAGTAGTTAATGCTCTAACAGCAGTTATTGAATTAAAAATAATATGATCAAAGATAGTATCTGAGCAATAACACATCTTCCCCTCCCCTAACCCAATAACAGTCACCTGATAACGAGTTAGGTATAATTTTGGGTAAGCTTGCACAGATTGATCCAACAATTTCTCATTGTTATTACTATTTATGACAGATATAGTACCTCTTCATTTAAGTCTTCCTCTGTGTCTTCAAAATGGACAACTGCCAGGAACTTTCCATGACTTTCACAAAGCCACTCAAGCCTGGGAATATATAACTGTAAAAAAAAAATTAAATCATTCATAAGTCTGCAAACCTATCCCCTCTGATTTTTGTTTACATGTCTTGCTCCTTATTCATGGTAAGATAGGCTTTAACCTGTAAGGTCACACTGGAGAATCCTGAGAATTTAACATCAATATGCACATTCCTTATACTGTTCTGTTAAGATATATTTCCTAAGATGCTGAAAAGGAGAATTTGTTTAAAATCAAGGGGTTATTTAGTTGGTGATTTAATTTATTTCCTTTACCCTTTTGACATTAATGTTTGTTTCAGGGGTGATACTGAAAGGAGGAATAAGATGCTAGCTAGTCACTGTTAGGAGGTCAAAGGGCCAGAAAAAGGAAGCACATTTTTTGGCAAATGTACCAAGTGCACTTACCTGCTTGAAAAGATCAACTTCCTGTTGCATGCCACTTGGTGCAGATATGTACATTTTGATTGTTTGCTGCTGGACTGGAGCTTGGAGACTTAATGATGCAAGCTGCAGAACTGAGGGCACTACTGCATTCCAGTCATCTGAATTGAAATTTAATCAAGGTGAAAAGTTCCATAAGACTAAGAGTTGTCTTGGTCTTGAAAGATAAGTGATCTGGAGGGTTAAAGGTTAGTGAACTATACTACAGATTTAGTGATATTAGTCCTCAGTTCAATGCATTTGCAAGACACTAGACAAGACAGGATAATTTGTTTTTCATTAGAGATAGCCACACCCTGTATTCTCTTGACCTAAAAGAATGTTTGATTCAGGGCTTAACCTGTTAGAAGAAATTTGAACCTGGTCACTCTTTGGGGTTAAAGGGTTCCTTGATATCATACCTCTACTGATGTTGGTAAAAGGTCCTTCTTTCTCCAATGGACTGTGAAAGAATTCAGGTCCCCGAAAAGATGTCACATGTGTTAAACTATCAATGCTTGGGTCACTCTCCAGAGATGACGCCCACCAGTCTGTGGCCATGTTGCCTACAACTTCTGACCTGTTTTCATCTCGTGACCACACTGATAGACACTGCTGAAACTGAAGCTCAAGGTCACGCTTTGCTTGCAGTACATCTTGTATTTCACGTTCTCTGGATTCCCTGAAGATCTTGAACTGTCGCTGAACTTTGTCCCTTTCTAACAAAGACCATATTAAGCATTCATTGTTAACATTTTACATATCTCTACATTTCTATGCCTACAGCAATCAAAAAGCAGTCTGGCTGGCTACACCTATCATTCTGCATGCTTAAATTTAGAATTGTCTTTGCTGCTGAAATTGTTTTTTTCACCATCACTTGGTTTTAACTTTGGTTTAGACATGCATCAGTCATTTTTGTCAGCTCTCCCTTACACCCTTTTAATAAATATCTCACTCCCTGTTCTCTTCCAGGCTATGAATTACAGATCATTGTTTTTTTCACTTTCAATTTATTGTCTAAACACCTCATACTTTGTTGGACCAGAAAGGTTTCACTGTATCTCTTTTGCGAAATCTGCCCAATTTGTTCTTTTTGGCACACAGTCAAGTTTGGTAAATTATTTGCATGTTTACATTAACAACTTAAAATGTTTCTCATTTTGAAGTCTTCAAGTCACAATCATTTACGTAACCCTTTAAAACCTAACATCAGTGTTAATATTCTCTACTGTTCTCCATACACCTCCAAAGACACTGACATGGAGAGTTTCTTCAACAATCACGAACATAGTGTGTGTTTAAGGGGTGATATTGTAAGGAGAAATTGTATGTACATACCAGTCACTCTAAGCCATCAAAGGATTAATGTAAAAACTGACAGACTGTAATCAATATGTTCACTGACAGATTTTTAAATCTTGGTCAAAATCTGTTGCATTAAATTACAATTGTCCCACACTATTTTTGAGCCAAAAAAAAAAACAACTCTCGAGCCACAATTGAGCTTAAATCAGAACTTGATCATGCACACTGCCATTGGATTAAGTAAACAATGTTTATTCTAGCCTTGCTAATAAAACTAACACTATTAATTTATTGTTTTAACACTCAGATGTTAATCTCATGACTAACATGGTGACAACATCATTAAGGGCCACCACAACTCTAGAGTTGTACTCAATTCCAACATAAACCAGAAACACGACATGTACATAACATACACCTCTGCTGTACCATAGAAATGGTTTCTAATGACAAATATTTCAAAAAGTAATGTCCGCTGTCAGAATATTCCTATAAGAAATATACACAAAGACTTGATCATTTCTTTTGCGTCATCAAAGAAATATCTCCCAAAGGAGATGGTTGGATGGAATTAAAATGACAAATTATGAGATGCCACCAAAAATGCTGCTGATCTTAAGATCCTGAATCATTTGATGGCTGGATCGCTCTAAAAAAGGCTGTGCAGACCTGCATTGAGCGATATGTCACAAATTACAAATCTAATGTAACTCTGAATCACATCAAAGTTACTTGGACTGAATTCCGTGACCACATGAACCTTAAATTGATTAGCCATCCACCAGATTGTGAACGCTGATATATTTTGATAAGTCTGTACATTTCTGTGGCTGTTTCAACTATTCAAACACTTTTATTTGTAAGCCTTCTTAACAAGATTATTATAATTGTCATCTTCATAGACACAGCCGCAAACACAAAACATTTCCTAAGGCAAATTGCCCACATACTGGGGAGATGATCACGAAAAGAGACAATAACAATGTCTGAACAAGGAATGGAAATTCTTCTGATGCACTTAAGAAGCTACTAACAGTATCTAGAAGTTTCTAATTAACTCAAAGAATTAGATTAACAAACAAAAGAAAAAGTTCTTAAACTACTAGTATATTGGAATGGTATCCCAAAAACATTGTGCTTTAAAACCATTTGTAGAGGAGATAAATCAGTATAACTTATTAGACATTTTGGTGTGTAGTATTGTTGAGCATTTTTACTTGTTGTTTGTATTTTGATGAGTCCTATGGGCTCATCAAATTACAAAAAAACTTGTAAAACTTGTAAAAAAAACTTCTGACTGTTTTTTTATTCTGCTAAGTCTTTCAACTAATTTCTCAGAGGGTAGGAAAACCAAAGCAAGAAGCAATTAGTGTGCACAGCCAACTGGTTAAACAGGTTTTTTTACAGCACAAAATAACCAAGTGTCCAAATAACCATTCAATATCACAAGATATCTGTACTCTATTCCCAGGTTATTTGTATGCTACTTTGTGCAGTTAGATAATAAAAGGGGAAGCTGGATCTTGAAGATCTAAAAACTTCAGGGACTGAGTGTAGGAAATAAGGTGTGATTAACGCAAATTAACTACAAGAAGCACAAAAAGTGTAGGAGTGTGGGTTATGTAAAGTTACAATGCAAGCATCCTGGTCAAAAAAGAAAAAAAACAGTTTGTGTTAAGATTGCAGTGCACCATGTCCTTCAAAACATTTTTCCTCAAATCATTCTCTAAAAAGCATACTGTCAAAACTGCAGCTTATTCTGGCCAGTTTGTCATTTTTTGTTTTTTGTTCCAATAAATTGTGGAAATACAAAATCAGAAACTGATAGAAGGTCTGCTGACAAAGTTTATAAACTTCTGTGGTCTGATATGTACATTCCCACAAGATAAAAACCCAATACTGCTGCCTGATATAGGCACTGCTGCTTACCTTTAGACGGACATTTTCCCCGTGGAAGTAAGCATAGATTGTACGCATTTCTAGATTTTGCGCATGGCTACCCCTGAGATGATCTGTATTCTTAGGTCAAGCAACATTGAATTCACCAAACACAGAGTAATGATCGCAAACCCAAAGGAAAACCTGAGAGTAATTATATTACTTAACTTCCTCAATATCCGCCACAAGCATTAAAAAAAAATCAGGGACATTATCATGAACGGAAATGTTGTGGAAAATGCTCGAGTCATCAAATTAACTATCAATAGAAAGTTTCAAGTTCTTGGTTAGCCAAGTGATGGTCAACGATCAAGGACAAAGAATTTGTCGCGATTCACAATTAGTAACTTGAACTGCAGACCTTAATCTTGGGCACGTATGTCCCTTGTCTCGCTCACAGTAACTACGACAAAATCAATTATAACACAAAATGCCAACATAAATCTAAGTATTTGAATATTTTGTATGTGTGCTCGATCACGATTCAACCAGTTAATTCATAGATTCCTTGACAAGCTCGTAAGCGGATGTAAACACAGCTGCACGATGGTAAAGTAAGACAAATCCGAATTGGAGCACATACAGAGTTTTGTCTTACCTTTCTCAAATGCTGCTGCTCTCTGAAGCGCTTGATCCCTTCCTTCCAATGCCATAGCCCTTTCGTTCTTTAACTTTAAACAAGTGGCTTGTAAAGCTTTAATCTCGCCACGAAGTCGCTGGTTATCGCTATGCAATTTCTCCTTCCGAACTTCAAGTTCGGCAATTTCTGTTGCTTTATTCTGTCGGTAAATTTCAAGTTCTTTACGGAGTTCATCAGCTTCTCTTTCTAGCTCCACAGAAAAAGCAGAGCGGAGACTAAAGCTTTTTATTACTGGTTTTGCCTTTGTGCTTCTCCGACTCTTTTTCTTGCCAATCGAACCACTTGGTTTAAGTGATGTAGTTTTTCGTCCAGGCGGACATTCGATGGGAATATTCTTGGTCACCATGGAATCTCCTTCACTAAATTCGTCGTCTACGATCACTTTTTTCGTAATAGAACTTCCAGAACCCATAACTAATTGTCACTGACCTCTCTTTGGAGTGTTAACTACATCAGGTTCAAGAAACTTTCATTGACGAGTTATATGGAGCCATGTTGTAAGTAGAACTCGTTATTTCTGTGTGGTCGCCTGGACGTAACACGCAACCCACAATTTCAAATCACCATAGCTCGTGAAGTTGCAACTTCCTCCAAAGGAAATCCGTTTGATAACATAACTTTGTAAGAATTTATGGCAATATCCTCACTTTGCATAAACAAACTACAACAAAGATCAATTCCTCCAGTGAAATACCCCCAGACACAATTTCAACAGAACGTTTGTTTTGCCTCGCAATCAACAGGGTGGAACCACTGATCACCCAATCGCTGTGCTGTAACGCATCTCTGGCGGTAGAGCTTGAAATAAGCCGCCATCCTGTGTCTGACTGCTGCTGTCATTCTTTTATTGTTTGATTTGACCATAATTGCATTCGATCATTTCCGGAATTTCAAAGTAGGGGATATGAAAACTTCTACTAGTTAACTATTGCCTAATCTTTATGTTACGTAACGTAACAGTTCGCACGAATCCCTTTGCAGAATGAATTTTTTATAAATCAATAAATCTAGAGCCTTAACGAGCTAAAATATGTTGAAAGTCCAGCGGCAGTATGTAATTCTACGGTTAAGAGAATTTTGATTCAGATAAGTAAGAGCTGATGGGGTTGGGTTAGGGGAGGGAGGGGAGGGCAGATTTCTCAGCCCCTTCTCTGGATCTGACACTGAATCCATATACACCACTGGGTACCTGTTCCCAAAAGCTTTTTAACTGATACACTAAACTACCAGCTAGAAATTAACTTTGGACAGAAGGCAGTATTCTGCAACATAACAAAGGTAGCAATGCTTAGCAGCAAAGGCTCGAGTGACATATTGTATTGGCTGGAGAGAAAATTCCACATAAGAAAAAGGCAGCGAAGGAAGATGAAATGACATTGCTTCCCTTGAAAGTAGATGTCAGCCCTCAAATAAGAGGCTCATGAGGGGCAGACATTACTTTCAACAAACTGTTGTGCCACTGAGGTTAATTTGCGAGACAAAAGTGGCCTCAGGGCCATTAAGGACGTTAATGTTTGTTAGATGCTGTTATTCTGACAAGAGCTATGAGATGCCTCAATGTTTTTGTATTATCTGAAAATTTTTGTACAAGGAAAGGAAAGAACTATTCTTTGGTCATTTTTCCTGCTGTATACTAACCTGTTTACTACCTAGATCTGATTGTTAATTCTCTCCTCTAGCTGTTACACATTTTCTTGCCACTTAGTTACAAGAATTTGGTGTTAGATCAAGATAACAACTTCTGCCTGATAAGTTAGAGTATTCTCATTACCTGTTTGCTGAATAATATATGGACATTATAGGGAGAGGTTACATGTTAATCACTTCTGGGAATTCAAGGGTTAAGCAGGCTATGAAGGAAAATTTCAAAAGTCATAAAATTAAAAATATAAAAAATTAGAGACAAATGCGACACAATTCTTCTTCAACAATTTTAATTCAAATTTCTCAAACTGTTAAATTTTTGAAGACAACACCAAAATATTGTCTTCATTTTTTTCCATTTTAACTCTTATCATCCTTTGACAGTATCCAATGACAATGATTTTGATAGTTACCATAAAGAAATAATTGTCATTTAATGAAAAGAAGTAATAAATTATTTATTTAACTCTTCAAGGGTGAAATATCCAAAAAACACGAATTCACTACCTGCCACCTTTGAACCCATAAATTGTAGATTGTTCAAAAACCAGTTTTCTAATTACATTATGACTGAGGATGTCAATGTTTTGGCACTTAAATTATCACAGAAACATAGACAAAAAATGAAAATATTTCAAACCAAGTTTCTGAGAAATATGGAAATCATTGCCTTCCTTAATGCTCTATTACCCTGGAGTTTAACTTGTACAAATTCCCCATAGTTTAATTAACACATCATGTAAACTGGTTTTCCCTGTAGGATCCTCCAATAATAATAATAATAAAAAAAGAAAGAAACTCAAATTCAAGTCTACATTAAAATGTTTGAAACAACATTTGCCATTAAGGGTATTAGACACTGTATGATGCATAAATTATTTTTAATTTGATTGACATTTATAAGTGATTTTGTTTATTTTATACATAACCAAACAAACATGTATGCCACATATGTTTTATCGCCCCATATATGGCACCGGTCCACATCCTTACAATGGGACATTGAGTGTGTGTTTCCTTTGAATGAGCTGAGAGTTGTGAGTGGAAGTTACCTGAAGCATTGTAGTAAAATCATTAAAATCAGGTGAATAAATTCTGAGTTAATAGGGAAGCATGGTACAGCTTTTTCACATTTTCGAGAAGGGCCCAAAGTTCACTTCTTTCCAAAGTCACCATTTGTCAACCTAAAATCTAAAAAAATGACACCCCAATATGAAATTTTAGTTGCTAAATTGTTTTTTACATGGCACAGGGATTGAATGGTTGTTGCATGGAGAGAAGAGAGTCTGCACATTACCTATCCACCTTATTGCTTTCCTCGATGATGACAATCCCTTTATAAAATGAACCAATATTAACCAAGACAAACAAGTGAGTGTGGAGGCAATTGCTTCCAAAATTCTCACAGCAACTTGCTGTTCTCCATATTGCCTGTTTTTGTTTTTATTTGAATGCTTTTTTATATAATAATTATATATACATATATTTTTTCCGAGCTGATCTTCACGAAAAAGTGAAAAACACTCAATGTGCCAGAAATAAAAATTTCATGCCCCTTGTAGGCAGTGCCTAGTTTATGCTGCATCAGTAACGAAATGAAGCAGCCCCATCTGTATGACAAGTTATAAATTTACAAAGTATAAACTTCCTGTTCCTACATTTTGGAGTCAAAATATTATAATTTGAAGGAAGGATGACCTGGCATATCAACTCATCTGTGGCACAGGGATCGAGAGTGGCCTTGAAAGTCTTTCAGGAATATATAGCTTCTCCAGCACATGATTCAGCCCTTTTAGAGCCTAATAAAAAAAGGTAATTAAAGAAAAAAATTCATAAAAATGTTTTTCTGTAATGCTGTATAATAGTACAAACTTACTGACTGAGTAGAAGAGGCTGGGCAGGAAAATATTTGGCTCATGATTGTGACATATGGACTGAGTGCAGAGAGGTCAAAGCCTTGTGAATGACAGCCATAAATTCTTGCATCCAGCCTGAACTAACTCAGTCATACAGCCTTTGCTCTTTCTTTTCTTTCCTTCCTTCTTTTCTGCCTGCAGCTGCCTAGGTCCTCCCTAGGTTTCTATTTGTGCCCATGATCTCATGTACCATAAGTGTCACATGATAAACCCTGTTATCTTCCATCCAATACACTTAAGTTAATGTGTTTACCTTTTTTGTGACAAGAAATACAGTTAACTGTAACAGGAGTGGTAATCAAACAACATACCTTAGATGAATTTGATTTATATCTTTCAACTCCAAATCTTTCAACTGGTCTTGCAAAACCAAAAATACCACAAGATATCCAAGATTCTTTCTTGCACATTGTCCTTAATAAAAAAAAGGTTAAAACTTTAAATACTAATCTTAACTCATTAATTAGAATTTCAAATTTTTTTAGTATCAAAGCCAGCGTATTATGAAATTGAAAATGTACGCTCCTACAGTTAGTTCTCTGTCAACCTTTAACTCCTGTGGGTGACCAAGACAGAATTTCTCCTTACAATATCAATATAATATTAAGCAGACAAGTGATGAGAATAAAGACAATCCCCCAATAAATTAGGGGAATGTTAGTTGATCCAATACCAAATTCTTCAAACTAACAAACAACTTTCTATGACAGATAGTAAGGAGAATTAGTATTGAGATCATGGGAGTGAAAGGGTTTTTGATTTTCCCTCCGGTTATGGCAGCATAAGCTACTGCTCTTACATCAGTTCTCTTCAGGACATATATAATAATAACCCTCACCCAGACCACTAACAATTAGAACAGAATAAAAGTATTATCATTTGATTCTTACCATTCTTTGTTGTTGGGATGTACTGAATAAACACACTTTTCTTCTACCACCATAAGTCTTGTAAATGTGATATTTCTTGTGTATGTTGTAAGAGTTTTGGCCTCTGGGTCAACAACAGATTCCTCCACAATACACGCTACCCTGGAATTTACAAACTAAAAAGCAAAGGAAGGGAAAAGATGATGAAGATTGATTCCATTCAAACTCTGCTTGCAAAGCAATTTTTAAAAATGAGCATAATTGGTGCATCTTAATCTAGTTCCGTCACCATTTTGATAACACTGAACCAATATTAAATGTTTAATCATTTGTCTCACAACTTAGAGTTATTATCTATTGCAGAGTCTAGATGATATTTAACCCTTTAAGTCCCACTGGTGACCGAGACAGAATTTCTCCTTACACTATCAATATGATATCAAGCAGGCAAGTAATGAGAATAAAGAAAAAAATTAATTAGATTTATATAATATAGAATGGAATATAGAATATAGAAGCGATCCTCACAGTTATGAAAACTACTGAACTAGTGGTTGAAATAAGCACATACATGATTTTCATATATTTCCAGTCATTATTCGCCATGTGAAAGGTTTATTTGGATCCAACATAATGACCAGCTCCCATTTGGCTTGTTAGCTCAGTTGGTAGAGCACTGCACCAGTATCACAGAGGTCATGGGTTCAAATCCCGCACAGGCCTGAATTTTTCTTCAGGCCTTATTTCAAAAAGTTTAGTATTATTCAAAACTGCAAGGATTGCATCTAAAGTGTGTATTTGCAGTTGTGAACAATACTGATCTATGTTTTTTGCTGTTCATATAACTTGAGTTATGGCATAACCCATAATTGAAAATTTTGTGACCAAAGTGAAGTAAAAAATGTTTCTTACTCTTTCTGCCCATCTTGGTAGACTGTTTGTCTTTGTGATTAGTTTTTTAGTGACTAGCTTGTCTCCTTCTAATGATCTGAAAATAACAAATAACCACAAAAATTACCTCAGAAAATAGTCAGAAGGGAAGGACTATTGATTTCAGATTTTACTCTACTTTACTTAACCCTTTAACCCTTTAAAGTGACTGGCATCTAATTTCTCCTTACAATATCATCCCTGAATAAAGCATTAAGGTCATGAGAATAAGGGAAATGATCAACAACTTAAGAAGCTCTTGATTGTTACACAAATTCTCCTTTTCAGAACCTTAAGAAATGTATAGAGAAAGTATGGAGAACATGCATACTGATGTTAGGGTGTGAAGGGTTAAATTTGTAAATATTCGGCTCATGCTCTCATTTTGAGCCTTGCAAAACCTTTAATGCATTTCTTCATGATCTACAACTCAAAATGCTATAATAAAATTAAAAAATAATATTTTTAGACAATCTATTTGCTTTTTGTCTTCAAAATTGAACTAGTTTTTTTTTTAATATTTCCCATGCCTTTCCATGACCCAAACTTGAATTCTGTGACTTTTAAAGCCTGATGAATAACATTATAAAACTCCTGGCCTGTTCCTTGTTAAGGGCATCAAATCTGAATGTTTGCAAAATGCAAAATATACAGTAATGCCAGTTGTATTGTAAAATTTATCATGCAATAATCCCCATTCAACTTGGTTTCTTGAGAGTTGACAGAAACAAAATGGTTTCCTATTAGAAAACTCTGCAATGATTTGCCTCATATAAAAAGGTGTAAGAACATATCATTTTTCCCCAACTATCGTGTTCAAGAAAAGTGAAAAAATATTGATATCCTGAGAAACAAACAGCAACAAGCATTGTACCTGTAAGCTCAGGTTTGAATGACAAAAAAGATTTCAGTACCAATATCGAGGAGAAAAAAAGTACAATTTTAACCAACTCGATCCTTAGCAAAGACACGCATTTTAAGCAGATTGTTTCAAGAATACTGCAAAAGAATGTATCATGGGAAAGTAAAACATATGCTCGTCTATCGAGTTACCCGAGGATGAGCCAAAAAAAAAAAAAAAATTAGACAGGGTAACTTAAACGCGTTCAATGTCAATTGACGTCACCAATGTACTAGATCACAAGGCTGCATGTGGTAGGTCACGATGCTTTTACTACTACTAAAAAGTGCCAAGATTTCACCAGAACAAAAACACAAATGATTCCAGAAATAAGATATCCTTCACGTGTAACAAAAAGTAACAATAAGCTGACGGAAAATACGAAGAGATATCCACCTGCTTACGATGTCCTCAGACAGCACGTGTCGACTGAACGGGTTTGGATACCGTGTCCAAAAAGCGCTCGTTACTTGATTCCAGTTAAATCTAAAAATGCCAAAATAACGGCAAATGTTATTTATTCCCGTTGCGAAAGCTTTCAATAAATTTTCAAGGCGAATATCACTTACTTGAGCAAGCAATCCGTGCAGTAGAACTTCATCGCGTATGCAGGAGTTATAAATATTTCGAAAGAAATCGACTAATGCCAGGTCTCCCCAGACAACGGTATCCAGTTTCCGCGCGATCACAATTCAACCGAGAAAAGACTGGGTTTGAGAGGGCGTCGAAGAGGCGTAGAAGTTGTTCTTAAACTTCAATAAACTATATTTTTTCCAAGCGGTACACAATCTCTGAATTTACCTGACGGTACAGATTAAAGCGTGTATAGTATCGATGAGAGAAATGGGCTACTGCTTCGATTTCAAAGCTAAGGTAACTAAGATTCTTGTGAAACTGCCGTCTTACGTAAGCTTGTTAAATGGGTTTTTAGTCACGTTTGCTTTTAACAAAGGGAATGAACTGAAAAGGATATCCCCTAAGATCAGTTGTGATCTAAGGAAGTAAAATTTCTCTCAGACGTGAAGTCGAGGATCGACCAACAGTTTTATAATTTCCGAAGCGTTAATTGCAAGACTGCATCGTGAAACAAACATTTTACTATCGTGAACAAGAGTGGTAAGCTCTTAACTGATATCAAGAGACATGATATGATGCAAATATTATGTTAATATTTATTTAAAAAATGATAAGCGTGGTATTTGGAGGAACAGGGCGGAGAAGATAGAGGAAAATTATGGAAAGTGTATTTTGGTATTTACGCACGTTTACGGCTGTTTCATCTATCCATCTATCTATCTATTTAATTACTAACTTATTTATTTATTTCTGATGTCCAACGTTTTGTGAGTGTTCACTCAAGGCTGCATGACTTCAAAGAGAATGACGCGCTCTATTTCTGCCACAACTTATTATTAGTTAACTCGTAGATTCTTCTGTAAAACGCCCGTTAAGATTATAAGATACGCCCTTCTGTTGCTTTGACTTCAGTGTCTTTACAAGATTTCTTCTCTGTTTCGAGTGTTTAGATTTCAGTTCTTCTGTTAAAGCTTCTATTCCCGTTATAAAATCTTTCACAGTGCCACTCATTTCGCTTTTTGTATTCTGTGTCAATAGCTTCAAACGATCTCCTAAATGGATAAAACAATGATATGATCAACGGTGAGCTGAATAAATTTTCCAAAAAATTTATTCTGAGCATGGAATGTTTAATAGCTTTAATTGTGAGTCTGATCGGCTACAGTATCAGTTAACATATAAGCTTCTTTACAATTGGCTTAAATAAGTTTGTCATGCGTGCATTGTTTTGACCCGGTGTATAACAATATTAATCCTATGAACCAATCAAAACAATCACTTGACCAACTCCATGTGACCTACGAACGAAATCACGTGAACTGGTCACGACTGGCACCAAAATTGTATTTTATTGGCCAAATATTTGGAGCAATTTTTCCAATCGCTCTGACGAAGGGCTAACGGCCGAAACGTCAGCTTTTTTACTCTTTACGGTGGCCAATTTAAGTTTTCAGAGCAAAACAATTTCATTTCGAAAATCAGAAAGAGAAAGCCGATCTTTTTTCGTTTTACTCACCATCAGTTGCCACCATTCGTCGAATTTTCAATCTCTTTACCAACTCCCACAAAAGTCCTGCTATGACAAACACCAGCAACAAAGCAGACGATAAAATAAGAGCTGCTTGGAACATTGAACCCTCGATATCAAACAACCCAGTAGTTCTTTCCACTGCAAGTGGTATCGAGGATTCCTGGAGAAAGCAATTGATAACTTTCAATCAAAATGATC